ATCATAAGATTGATTTATTCGACAGCCATTTATAATACCGATAAATCAATCTTATAATTGGCCATTTGCAAGTCCAATCAGGACTCGTAACACCGGTCGCGCTTCTCTGATAATCTAGGACTCTACTTAGCATGTACTACGTACATACGTCGTAGTACGTATTTCGAGTATTCTGAGAATTTACGTAATATTGTTTTATGATGTTCTTCGAACGTTCTCAGCCCTAATTTATATTTAATATACGTAATATCCCTAACAGCACACGTTAATTCTAACGTGTGCTGTTAGGGATATTACGTATATTAAATATAAATTAGAAACCTATAAAAAAAAGTGTCGCAACCTTTTAGTGAGCGAGTGTACAGCATATTGCGACAGCAATTGGCTATAGTTCGCTATTATTGATTAAAAATTTATCATGCGATAATACATTTTAATTTTTAATAATCAAAATTGCAGCGAATTGCTCATGCTTCTGCTGTGAGTTGTATTTTACATACAACAATAACAACTACAAAATTTACACAAATAAACTTAATTATTGCACTGAAATTTTTGACAGTGCGGTTTAACACTGTAAATAAAATAGCGGATAAAATTTATATTATTAAAAGAATTATTAGAGTCAATTAGTAGTAGCGATAACGATGAAATAATTATAGATCATTTACTTAATTATTGTCTAAACGACATCCGAAAGACATCTTTCGAAAGATGTCTTTTCGGACTTTACAAAAAGATGTCTTTAAGACAACTTTTAGTATAGTCTGAAAAGACATCTTCCATATGACGTCTTTGGGACGTCTTTTGGACTTTACCAAAAAGACATCTTCAAGACAACTTTTAGTATAGTCCAAAAAGACATTTTTCATATGACATCTTTGAAATGTCTTTTTAGACAATTTTAGGACTTTACCAAAAAGACGTCTTTAAGACAACTTTTAGTAAAGTCTAAAAAGATATCTCATGAAACGTGTTTCATAAGAAACATTAAAAAAGCATTGTTAATTAACAATGATTTTTAAATTATAATGTATAAATTAAAAAGGAGGAAATAACAGAATATAAATAAAATAAAAGCAAATTAAAAGCATTTTACGAGTATTAACTGCTCTCTTTAAAATATTTAATTTTCTGTTAGGTACATATAAAATATTTATTATAGTACCATTATGTAATAAATTAATGTATTTTTTAATTGAAATTTTACTTAATAATGACTTTCCTCTTGACTTTATATTTAATATAATGCCCGTTTTTTATTCAACAAAAAACTGAAAAACAAAACATTACAAACACTTCAGAAATATTAGGAAATTACAATGGCTTGTGGTCCCATACATTCCATCCGTTTCTGACAAATTCAAAAATACTACTAGAGACATGAATGTAAAACTTGCATTTTTCAGTCTTCATAAATTCAATACTATCATTAAAACATAAAAGGACACTTTCCCATTTATATCGAATAAAAATATGTAAATAAAATTACTTATAAAGATTGTAATGCAAGATTGTAATCCTATGTCGGACAGACGGACCGACAATTATAAGTACTAGGGTCTCTGAACAAATAAATGATTTTCGGAACAACACAAAAAATTACATTTTTCTGTTATTTCAGAGCATAGAATGAATCCACGAGATTGGGAGAACGTAAAGCTTTTTACAACAAGCGATCGATTTACTTCCGAAATATTACATATCCAAATCCAAAAAAAGTCTAAACCTCCAGTCCGATACGAAATTTTTTCAATGTGCTTATTCGCCTTTACTTAGTTTTCTATAAATAAGATTTTATGATTCCCTATCTATATTTTGGTTATAACAAGTATCTAATTATTTATTATTATGAACTTGACATGTGTTTGATGACCTACCTACAATAATTTTATTCGCTAACTGACTGCCTTCTACATTGCGTTCGTTTTGTCATTTTACTGCTGATTGACTTTGTTACTATACTGACGTTTTTATTTTCTTTGTTCTTTTATTTTAAATGATTTGCGAATTTCGTTTTATTTCTTATTGTTAAATCTTATGTTTTTGCCTTCTGGATTATAAGTTGTCTTCTTACTCTGATCTTTTTACTTTTTTTTCTCTTATAATGTTGGTGTATCGTTCACTTTTATTTTCTTTCAATTGTGATGCACTGTTTATTTTTATACATGTTAAGTCGATGTTACTAGAATTAACAATCAGACATTAACGATACATTGGGAGCTTGTTCTATAATTTTAAAGAGAGTACACTCTTTTTACTCCAGAAACTTTAACCTTTCATGATTGCTGAGGGTGATTCAAAATTGAATCAAAACGTCCATGGATTAAAAAAGTATTTAAATAAAGACTTTCAATACAACACTTCTATGACTATCTGCGCTTCACTTACCGCGCTATAACTCTTATTAGCCCTTGTTTCTATTTTTCTTATTTGATACATTTTTTACTTAAAATTGTCTTGAAAAAACTTGTCTACAAAACGCCGTGTATTCAAAACTAAAAAAAACCTAATTACTATTATAAAATTTACAAAACCGCCATATTAAATTTGTGTAAAATAATTAAGTATTTAGTACATTAAACATTTTAAAAATTTGTTTAAAAAAAATCTCAAAGAGACATAGGATAAATATAAAAAGAACAGCAATTATTTTATTTAATATCATTTATTTATAAATTAATGCGGATGCGGATGCAGATGCAATAATGAAAACGACAAGAAGCATATTATGCATATTACAATTCACATTCTTAACATTTTGCTATCGGTCCCGATAAAAACGTGTTCTCAATAACTATAGATATTATGATATAAAGTTGCATCTTTATCGTTCACTATTGAATATATTCCATGCCTTGTTATCATTTAAGATCGTCTTCTTTGATAACCGTCCTTTTCATTCATATATATACATACACATGCGCGTTTGTACACATATACATACGCACACGAGCAGATGCATATACGATGTATATATATATAAAAATGCGTGTGCGTACATAACGGTATAATTACAATTAATGATGCAGTAGCAATAATATTATGTAAACGTCAACGTTATTGAGAGACAGATACAATATATATGTTTTTGCATAATGTAATTCGTCTTTAAACCTTCATTCAATTCTCCCAAACACAACAACTTAAAACACTGAGATGATGAGGGATATCGCTGTAAATTAGATAATTACTTTAAGATTTCTAAAATTGGTGATCGAGGAATAAACGACTCTATTTTTATATGTAGACATCTCGTATTCACTCTTTCCTGTCCATTAATCTTTAAAGTATCACTTTATTCCGATATCCCCATTTCTCATTATATCTTGCCGCGATGCGATTATTTTAGCGGCGTTCAATTCGCGAAACAATGATCCAAGCGAAATACGACGCTCCGACGAAGACAGGACTAAGATAAATCACATACAGCCTTATTATTCATTTTTTCACATATTCACGCATTCATTCAATCTCTTTCTCTCTTTCTCTCTCTCATTCTTTTCTCTCTTCGCAAAGAGGAAAACAAAGGATATTATCGGGTAGGTAAAAACACGAAGTTTGTGACAACCGTAAAACACATTTGTCAAACAGTACGACGAAAAAGGGAGAAGGGAGAGGCGGAGGGCTGATCCAATTCTTGAAAGCAGCCTTGCGCACATTGCACAGATTGCTGGCTAAAAACATGCCGTCGCTTTTTACCGTAATAATAAACAATTAATTAATCACTAAGTGTTGCTTCTCTTTTTGTCTTTCTTTCTTTCGCGGTGTTTACTTCTTCAAATAAAAATTGCTTTCATGATTAGAATGTCGATGTACGCGTGCGCGGCCATTTGGCTTTGCCGACCTTTTGCGCCTCGAAAAATTGATATCCATCTCTGGAAATACGACGGCCAAGCTCGCAAAGATACTGCCAACAACTCCCATCACCCGCGATATTACTGAGCTCCTTGTTTGAATGATGCAAGTCTCCTGCCCGGTTGTGTATTGGTCTGCTCGCACGCGCTCTAACTTTTCTCTCACTTTTCACATTTCCTTCGTTTGCTTCTAACTTAATCTTTTCTATGCTGCTGTTTCGGCTGTCCGTTGGACTATCGTAACTCATAACTCTCCTTTATTCTTCCTTCGTTGGCTCAGCCTTCTTGCCAAGAGGGATTGCCGCCTTTACTCTAAAACAATCGATTTTTAAACGTTGCGACAAAAGATTTAAAAGACAATAAAAATACAATGCGTTGATTCTCTTTGCACAATTTTATTGAAATATTTTAAATAGAAATAATGTTGCAAGATTTATATATTTGCATATATGTATTATATTTTTTTGTTAAATATTATTACAAAGCAAAGATATTTCTTTAGTGAGTTCAATTTTGTCTATTACAAGTATATAAAAAAAATTTAGATTGTTTACCGCTTTTCCATTGTTATAAATAACGTAATAATCAATTATATATGTTGATAATATCCGAATTTGAATTTAACAGAATAACATCAGTTAATTCTTAATAAAAACATTTTATACAATATAGAAATTATATATATATATAGAATTAAAAGAATGTGCATTAGAATGGATTTATGTATTGAAAGTTTACATATAGTCATCGTCTACAATAAGACTTAAAACTTAAGAATTAAGAAAATTAATCAATCATAATCGATTATTCTTCTCATGAAGAGTGAGATGAACAATCGACTATGATTGGTCAATTTTCTTAAATCTTAGTTTTAACGCTTACGGTTTAAGGGGCTGTCTACAATACGTCGTATGTCAGATTGTAAGCCGTAAATCGTAAGAATTGACCAATCACAGTTAAATGTAAGAAAAATATTCGACTACGATTGGTCAATTCTTAGTTAGTATGATATGAGTAGTGACTAATCGGAAGAGCACACGTCTGAAC